TGACTCGCACAAAGTGAGAGGGGGCTCAGGGGTCGCATCCATTGGACCACAAAGCCCCCGCGGGGTTTCTCAGGGGCCCTTAGTCGTGGTATTCCATTAAGGGAAGCCCAGGCAGGGTACAGCTAACTGGCACCCAAAACTACCAAGCAAACTGCTAAAAGCTGCACCCCCGGGACGTGTAAACTCACCGGGGCCTAGCGGAGAGCCACCAATAACAAGAGGGTACACAAAACAAGGGGCAGACCCTCTACCAGGCAGAGAAAACAAAAAGAAAAGAAAAACCCCACAAGAGGACACTGAGCTCAGGCGAAACAGAGCCGGCCGCTATGAGAAGTGACAACTAGCTGCGCTGTACCCTGCATCTCAACCAGTGCTGAAAACTATCCCCCTACCTAGAGGCAAACAGGAGTAAATAAAAACCCTAGATGACTCAAAGGGCAGTCAATTACCGAGCAGTAAATGACACAGTGCAGGTAGATCACAAGGTGACTCCAAGCCCCCCAAGAGCAGTACTTACAGGGCACCTAGGGAAGAAAACCCTAGGCACATGCAGCCCGAGTACTGAAGAATATTACTCCTGCCTTGCACACCGACCGTAGAGACAGTACCACGCCACAAAGCATCGAAACTAAGACAAAATCTGGAGCCAGAGGCACATGACCTTGCCAGTATCACACCAGCCAAGAACTTGGGGTGTGGATTGCAAGCAAATATTGCGTCAGCCAGAAAAATGATAGGATGGATTACGAAAACTTTCAAATCCAGAGATCCCATCACAATGGTTGTACTTTTCTAATCACTTGTGCTGTCCCGTCTTGAGTATTGCTCGGTACTCACTTCCCCCTTCAGAGCAGGAGAGATTGCTGAAATAGAGAAATATAGAGAACATATACGGCACACAGACGCGATAAAGCACCTACATTATTGGGATCGTCTCAAAGCTCTCCAAATATACTCACTAGAAAGGAGACGAGAGAGATGCCAAATAAACGATATGGAAGAAAATGCAGAATAGAACCAGTGAGGAACAGAGGTGCCATAGACACAATCAGAGAACACTGTATCAGAGGTCTGCTGTTGTTAAACGTCCTCCCAGTGACTATAAAGAAATATTGCCAGAACAACCATGGACATCTTCAAGAGCAAACTAGATTGTATTCTAAAAAAAAGTGCCGGACCAACCAGGCTGTGGTAGGTATGTGGGCCTGCGGGCCACTTCAAGCAACAGCCTGGTGGACCAAGCTCTCACAAGTCAAGC